ATAGGGTCTTCCCGATCTTCCACAAGCTTCTGTTTCATTTCCTCTCATGGCCACTGATTCATCGGTCTGGATCGAAGCATCGTGGTGCATCGTGCTTGTCCACGCTCTGACAGGAGACGTCCACCGACGTCCGATCTGGGCATCTGCTGCCGGTGGCCGGACGCGCCTCCTCGGAACTTCGACTCTGAGGCCTCCCGAGCGGTGTTTTCACCGTGTACTCTGCGGTGGCCGGACTGTACCACTTCTTTGAGTGAGTCGATCCAAGTGAGTGCCCCCAAACAACTCACTGTGCATCAGCATAAGAAACGCAATGAATATGTAGAAAACTGTGGAAAGTAATGTTCATCTATATTCGATTGCACAAGTCGTTTTGGATGTCTCGCTGTGAGAGCAAATTCGTCAAAAGCCTTAGGGCTTTTGGGCACTCGCCTGGCAGAAGATGGAGATTCTCCATGCAGCTCTGCCTGCAGTGCGGCTCATGACTTGGGATTGGCCCTGTTTGCTCTGAGTCATGTTTGTCATTGTTCCTGGAACAAAAGAACACGATCCTGATTAAGCAACTTAGGCTATTTGGTCTTTCACATGGAGCTTGATAGATTTGCCCTGATTCACCAAACTCTGAAGGACATGAATCCTGGTATGACATGGAGGTGATGGAATGATGAGCTGATGAACGCCCCCGGGTCATCTTGCTATGAGGGTGTGCATTGGAATAGGCAAGACCATTTTAGCCAAACGCCCTGGCACCGTACTCCAGGTCCAGTCTGACCCAGCCCCAAACATGGTCCTGGACACCTCATTGAGTAGTGTTTGAATTCACTCCCACTAGAATGAGGTCAGTTCCTGACCTGGGGTTCGATTGACGACTTGAAACCGGATTGGTGTCCTCCGTTCCCATGCGTTCCCCGTGCGTTCCACAACCGGCGCCTCGGCCTCTCGTAGTTCACTCCGCAGGGCTTGACCTTCGAAGACGAGAAGGCGAGAAGACATGCTGATGGAGCCAGTGGCTTATATAGTAACTTCGAATGCTTCGCCAAGGCCCAGTCTATGGCCACGTGTGCCTGGCGTCATGGCCACGTGTGCCATGTGCTTGAGGTCAAGGAGCTTTTCATGCACCGGATGTCTCCGGATATCCTCTGGAGCGGCCGACCAACGGCCCGAGCCCGGCAGGTGCTTGTTGAGGGTTCTGCAGTTCACATTCGCTGGGAAGCGTCTGAGGTGAGGCTGTGAGTCAAAGCCGGGGGACCTTGTTTGTGGGTTCAACCATTCCAAGTAATTAAAGGCTGAACAAATAGAACAAACTGAAGCCACCACTCAGTGAGAGTGGCAACCTGGAAGATTCTGGGAGACCCCGACCCCTACCAATCGGACCTTCGACCGTCCGCTTCTGCGGGGTTCCCGGGCATTGCTTCTGGAGTTCTTCATGCACCGCCTCGGCCTGAAGCGGCGACCAAGTCGCGACCAAGTCGCGACGACCAAGTGAGTTGTGTTTTTTTTTGTGGTGTGGGGCTTATACACTGGGTCTGTACCTACGCGGGTGCCTACGCCTGGGCTCCCCTCTCAAGCAAATGCCTACGCGAGAGGTTCTCTTTGTTAGGTGCCTACGCGGGATGCCTACGCAGGGTGCTGTCACCAACTTTAGTCACATCAGGTGACTCGAAAAGAGCTATATAATCCGCAAGTAGTGGCCCGATGCGACCGGGTCACAGCAGGTTCCTGTTTACAAGGCGTTTACAGCTTTGCTACCGATGGCCAGATAGATTTTGTATCAAGCCGATCCAATTACAGTGTGGAAGCAGCAGCACATAAACAGCGCACAACAAGCAGAAAACAAGAGGCAGCAGCAGCAGCAGCAGCAGCCAAGCAGCAGCAAAAGCAGCAGCAAAAGCAGCAGCCAAGCAGTAGCAGCAGCCAATAGCTTCTTGCCTACGCGCTGCTTCCGCGAGCGCCTACGCGGGGCCTACGCGAAAATAGGTCCATTGATTATGGTACCAACCGGGTGCGCACAGTTGTAGCTCAAGAGCCGGTGTGCCAGACCAAGCACGATCAAGCTTTTGACCTCAAAAACCAATGTGCCCCCATAGCTTCGACAAACAAACTTCAAACATCCACTGTAGCCATGTCGTTACAATTCATTTTCATTTTCCTTCCCCACTGGAATTTGCAAGCAAGTGTCAAGTTAAACAACTACAAGCCAACATTATCTTTCCCCAAGACCCTTGAACAACTTTTAAAGAAGTCTGAATAAGAAAATTCAGGCTTTCATGAAAAGGGTGCCTACGCAAGACTGCCTACGCAAATCTTTCAACACCCACCTACGCAAAATGCTTACACGACGCCTACGCCCCAAGCAGAACAGCCTCCGCGACTTCTCAACAGTTCCCTTTTTGTATAAACCTAATCATTTGCAAAAAAAACGTGGCTCAAGTGTCGACCTTAAGTTAAGACCTTAAGAGATCTGGGAAAGAGGGATGAATGAACACCATGGCGACCATGGCTGAAGACCAGCTTGATGGTGCTGGCATCCTTTCAATCAATTCTTGATACATGTGACTTGGCACAGGTGTCTTCTGCTCCAAGGACTAGACTCTCCAGTTCAGGTACCCAATTCAGTATTTGGACGATTCTGGTTGCCTCCTTTTTGTGCTGCGCGGATAGGAAGCTGCTAAGAGATGTTGCTTGGGGCCCTTCATGGTCAAGTGTGCACTCGACTCCTTCTTGCGCCAGGGCGACTCAGTCGACTCCTCACTAGGTGGATGGTGTCCATAGGACAAAGGTAGGTGTTTACTTAAACCTTGTGTCTTTCTTGGTGGGATGTCAAGTCCAGAAATCCTCACTTGATCACCCTTCCTTGCAAATCTTCTCTTCATATTGGATACAAGCGGTATTTCTGACACAACCTGTTCTTCAGTCTGGCGACCAGTGTCGCTCCCCTGGGCATCGACCAGCCTGTTGCAACAAATCATCTTCCTGCTGCAGCTCCCGCTGAGCCTGCGGCGATCGTGGGCTGCAAAAGGCAAACCATATAGAGAACATTGACGGCAAGGCCAGAAATACCCATGATCGGCTTGGAGACTCAGATATGTAAAATACAACGGCTAAGAAATGGACAACGGCCAAGACAAGTCTAGTTCTGGCCATGGCCCGATCCATTGAAAAAGCAGCTGACGGGGCCGATCGATTGGAACACCAACCGCCGGAGAAGACAACGGAGAAGACTGCGGACGCCGTCCGAGCTGAAGATAGCAACCAGTAAGAGAAAAACATGTTGTGAGGGCGAAAGAGAAAGCTCAGCCACTTTGACCATTTGGTTGATCATTGTAATGATCATCCATGCATTTCAACAGGACAACAGCTCCCTAAGCAACTACTTGATGGAAGGCCTTTGTCTTTCTCTGCTCAAGTCCGGCCTGACACAAGCTCCAGAGAAGCTGAAGCTGCTCCTGGCGAAGTGAGCGCGAAAGCATGGCGAAGGCACCTGACATTTGGTCAAGAACCGATGGTTTGGCTTCCAGGTTGTCACTGTATCTTTTTGGACTAGACTAGACGACCAACTTTATGTTACAAGTCTTCCATCACAGCACACTCACACGCCTGCAGAAACATGTCGACATTTTTGGGGAGCATCTGTCTCACATTTGTTTCATACACACAACCAGACATTGAGGATCTCCTCCGTCTGTCATCGGTCTGTCAAACTTCAATGAGCCAAAAAACACACCACAACACGTTCTCTCGGAAACACTTAGGCTCTTCCAAGACCCTTCTCAAACCCTGCAGTAAGACGAACAATCATTTCATTGTTCAGAAAAACATAAGTTCATTATTGTGCATTCTTCGTTCCTGATAGTTTTTGTCCGGCTACTCACATATGCCCCCCATATCCCTCAAACGAAGGCCAAAAATCAGGTCTTCATATGTTGGTCCAACTGTTTAAACAGTATACAGCAGCCATTCCATGTTTGTTTTGGCTCAACTGGTTTCAACACATGGAAGGTTGGATGGTTCAACGTCCTGTTCTGTGACGCACTGGACCGAACCTATCAGACCCAAGGTTCTTGAGGTCCCTTGACTTGATGAACTTTAGGGTTTGAACATGATTTGAAGTAGAGTTTGATCCTATCAACAGGCTACGACCGAAGCTTTCGTTCGTAAGGACCGAAGCTACGAGGTTTTTTGGCCATCGCTCTTAGGTTGGAGGCCATCGCTACTAGTAACAAGAAAGCTTTCTAGTAACAGTCTCTGAACGATTCATGAGGAATCTGTCTGACTCAAGAAGAACAAAGCACATCGACCTCGGACTGACCTCTTTTGCTACGAAGTCAGCGGAAACAGCAGGACACACCAGGGAAGATCGGAACTTGGTGTTGCTCTTTGCAATTGAAACTTGACAGCTAGAGGATGGCAGTGCTTTCCTTTGATCAGTTTCAAGCCTCCTAAGCCGCAACCCTCACCAGGTCTTAGGGATCATTCTTCCACTCATCGGTGAGGCTCTGACGCTCCCCCATCCCGCACGGGGTCCGCTCCTCTGACCTCGGGTCATTCGGTCAAAGACGGTGGGGCCAACGGGGTGAAGCACCGAGTTCGGGCCGTTCACCGCATCGGTCGACGGGCGATTTGGGCTCGACAGACCCGTGAAGTGTTGATTGATGGTATAGATTGATGGTATAGATTGATCGAATCAGAACCCTTGAAAGATATATATATATATGTCTACAAGACGTCATTCCGAACATTCCACGTAAGTAAGGCTCTCATGCGCCGGATGACCAGCGGACGATGTGATCCTTCATGTTTCACCCCAACGTCGAACACGGCCATAAATCCAGATCAATCCACCAAATCACCAGGTCATGGCCTGTAGTTACCAATTAACTCTATCCTTCCAGAGAAGTCTCCAAGGCAGCATCCACCTGCGACTTGGCATCCCCCGCTCTCTGGACGCCTCTGGCTTCACCTCAGACGCGCGAGTCGAGTCGAGCACGGTCTGCTCCTTGTGTTCAGTGGATGTGCAGTGGTCACAACTGGGTCACAACTGGGTCACAACTGTCCAATGACACGTATATCTCCATGCAAGCTCTTTTGCACCGGCACATGGAAGATGCTTAATGAACGGCACCGAAAAAGATCGTCCTGACAAGCTTCTCTGCCTACAGAGTGAAGGCAGCGCCATGATTTCTGGTGTCTTGGCACAAGACCTTGTGGCGAATGATGTCTTGTTCAGGTATTGTAGGAAGAATCCACTTGCAATCCATTGTTTCCAAGACAATTACCAGAAGCTTCCTGCCACCGCCGGCCATTTTCAATTCCTGCCACCATCCATTCCGCTCGTCCCCCTGCTTGAGAACATCTGCAATGACATGGCTGATGCAAATGACAATGGTGCCATCACTTGTAGTCCCTTCAATGCCTTCCTTGAAGAGGTTGATCATGCCGTACACGTCTTCCTTAGCCTTCTCAACGAAATTGACCTCAATGCCAAAGCGTGAGAAAGCTTCCGTTGCCGGCTTCCACTGAGCTACACGTTCCAGGAATAGCACGTTCGGAACGTTGGCAACACCGCTCTCTTGAAGATATTTGAGAGCACCTTGGGCTCCACAACCTGGACCAGCCCCGAAGTCTACCACGCCCGAAGCACATGTTGCACTAAGCACATGTTGCACTTCGAACGTTGTGTTCGAAGCCGCCCTTTTGAGCAACTCAAAAGTAACCGTAGAGCGAGCGACAAAGTGCTTGATGGTATAGTTGAAAGCAAATCCTGGGCTTTGATTTTCCTTCAAGTCGGACCAAACTTGACGCTTTCCCCAATTTCCGTACACGGAGCTTCGAGGTTCAGCTCCATCATAGTCGGACACAAAGCAAGGCTTCGAGGTTTAGCTGCAGCCCTCGCTTTGAACCAAAGTTTCACTGCAAGTCCAAAACACTAAATTCATCACAACTTCTGCAGGACATGGGATGTAGAACCAGTATTGTCAAAGCAGGCTAAGATCGCCATCTGTCAGTTACCAGCACTTTCTGATCTCTACACAAAGATAAGATATTTATATGGATGTGGATTTGCCTCAAATTTAATGATATAATTTGCACTAGAATGAACATGTATATCACTGACTAAGCATGTACCAACATCCAATTGGCTGGTGGCAACTCCTTTCCCAACATCTTCAACATCGATGGCCATTGCCATCCTTTTCTCCACCCACTGCTCTGCCGCGCTTAAGCAAGCAGAGTGCCACTGGCGCGCTTCAAGCTTTGGCACCAACGGTCGCGCCGCGAAGCGGGCACCCGAGCGTTGAAGAATCCATCACCTTCGGTGATGTCTTGACCACTGACCTGCACCGGATCGCAGCGACTCGGTCACGGGACGAGTCGCCATTGTTCTTCAGGGCGCGTCTCGTCGTGTGTGAGGAAAGCGAGAGGGGAAAATGGGCGGTGGTCCCAGATCCTAGCTATATATCCAGCATAGATTTTGTTATCGCACCACGGACTAGAACTCTAGTGCCTTCTTGGGCTTGGTTACATATTACAACACCAATGGACATCATCAGTTCAGGTTTCTGAATGGACACACGGTACGTACAGCTTCCTACACTCAAGATGCCCATGAAATACTAAGAAGCTACTGGGGGCTCCTGGCCATACTACTAGGAGCAAGAAGCTATTAGGAACGAGCATTCTTACGTAACAAGATGCCCATGAAATACTTCCTCCAACGCTACAAGCGTCGCACCGCTTGCAGCGTAGCGCCGTCTCGCCTCTGGAGTCATGGCATGACAGCGTGGGCTGCGACATTGGCCACCCCACAGCTTGCAGAATGCTTTATTGGTTTAAACGGAACGTGAATCATGCTGGAATAAGATCAGGTTCAGCTAAACATACAGTATTGGCTTCAACCACTGTTTTGGTTTAACCATGATCATGTTTTTTGTTTCAATCCAAGGACGCACATCAACATAACCATAGCTGGATATTGCTGCGATTTGTCCACAATGTGAGATCCACTTTGACTTCTTCCTCACAGCAGTTGGATTGAACATGATTGGCCCCCAAATTTGATGCTTCATCCGGTTGCGTGCCTCTCATCATGTGTAAAGGAGGCCAAACCAACCTCATTCGGATACCAAAACCCGCCAAGACATGCGTGACTGATGCCAAGCATATCCAAACCAATACGCATCCACCTAAGCTAGGAATACCGGAGCCATGGCAGCGATCGGGCCGTGCTTTGGTCACCGAGGGGGGAGGTCTGATTCATCCGAATCCAGTTCCATGAGGCTCCAGTTTCATGTTTGGTCCCCAAGTGGAAGTAATTCATCATGTGGATTCATCAATTGGTGGGAAGTCATCGAAGTGGTCGGACAGGCTCGCCGCAACCAAAAAAACAACACTCGGAACCGTTGCAACCCTCCGAACTGGTTGTTCATGGCGGAAATGGCTCACGGGTGTGTATTAAAGTAGGGAGATCTCTCAAAGAACCCCTGGAAGGAGGAAGATCGACCAGTCTGTCCATTGGTTTGGCGTCTCCATATTATTAAGATGCACACACTGATGCACGCCCATATCGGCACGGAGACTTCGTCAGGGAATTTCTGGTCCATCTGGTCCATCTGCGGTGGCACGCCTCAAAATTGGTGAGAAGTGAGAAGCTGTAGAAATCGAAATGCAAACTGCAAACCAGCGCCAATGGATCAAAAGGTCCGTCAATCTTATTGGTTTGATGGCACCAGCCCTGGAGAATCCCTTTTCGATCGTTCCTGCTTGCTGGTTGGTTGGATCACAAGCGCAGCTGAGATCAACTCTGAGATCACTTGCTGGTCAGCTGGACTCTCTCGGCCAGCTGGGATTTTAGTCCGTGAAAGTACAACTTGCAGTAGTTTTAGTTGGGCAGTGCACACGATCTATTTGGATAGGAGACAGGCTAAGCTTCATGTCTAGAACCGCGCGGTTATGGTGCTTGGCTATGGCACTGGCACCTCATTTGGACCTGCTGTGGCCATGAATGGCTAGTCAGTCATGACGAAGCACCGGGGCACGGTTCGCCGGTGCACTAAGCTGGGCCTGGTTCGCCTGGGTGCAGCCTAACTACCCTGTCCCTGGTGAAACACCGAAAAAACCCGGAGCGGAGCCGCTTGCTTCGGGGGTCTGCCGAGACAGTGGGCCTGATGGTCACTTAAGGTGAGGATGTGGAGGTCGGTAATGAATGGTGTTGACTGATCACGTGGGGCCACAAAGGGGTCCAGCACATAGGGCTTGGGGAAGCTTGGTTTCAAGACACGTGTATCTCTTCCGGCCGCAACATACGACCAAATTATGTATTTAAAGTAATTAATGCTGTCCAAATAGGTCAGTGTGGGGTCCCCAGAAATTTCCAGAGATCGTTTGATTGAGGATGGTTGAGGTCAGTGACTTTCCTTGAAGGAGCCAGATCTGATTTCGGATCCTCTGGGCTGAAAGAAATCCTTTCTTAAGTCGTATATCCGTAAACAAAATCCACGAACAAGCATCGAAGCTCCCTTCGTTATACTCACTTCAAAAAGAGTCTGAAACGAACTTTGACACATGTGGATGTGCCGTGATGCCTTTCGGTTTGTAGATGCTCCACTACTTCCCCACTACTTCAGCAAACACCTCCAACCGTCTCGGTCACCCGACGACATCGCGGTCACCCGCAGAAACCGAAGATCAGACCCGTTCGGACCCGTCTCGGCCGGTCGCGTCTTATCTTCGGCCACCCGAATGCCCGGAGCAGCGAAAGAGCAAAGGAATCACCTGAAAGAAAACCATCTGAAAGATCATCTGAACTCCCTGGAATTGTTCACTTAGTTGAGTTTCGAATTTCACCATGTTTCACCTGAAAAGGTTCCCAAAATTTGGGGAATGTGATTTACACTCCCTGGAATCATCATGGGCCGCCGTGCATGGCATGGCCCGGCAAGGATGCTTTGTGGATGACCACAAAGTCTGAATACCAAACAGGTAGTGGTAATTTCGGGAGTGCATGTTCCACCAATCCTGTGACCCTGTTCTTGGTTTGTTCTCAAGGTATGGTACATAATTTCTGCATGGGTATCTTCACAAAGTTCTTTTCTTGCGAAGAGACTGTTTGTGAAACTCGTGCAGGACAATTACACCAGGTTCTCGTTTCATTTGAACCTCTGATGGATTCGAATCCAACTAAAACATCGTCAGGGTGTTGCCGTTCTTTATCCAAAGTTCAAACATAGAACACCTTGCATATCCTTGTTGGGTGATAAAGATAAAAATGATAAAAAAGATGGGACATGATCCAAGTCGAACCATCCAACACCAATGCGGATCTCCTTGAAACGCGATGGTAACGGACGCCCATGGTCACGGACGCACGCTCTGCTGCGCCGGTTCCGGGGGGCGGTGCTCGTCAAATATCCTCGCCGGATTCCTCATCTGACGAGTACCTGGAGATGTGCGGGTCGAAGCATCCGATCTTCAGGAGGGATGCTTAAGGGCCCTATGCATATCAAGGACCTGCTCAGAAGGTATTTGGAGACTATTTATGTAGGCGCCAGGAGGGTCCAAGTAGCTTCTGAGAAGGTATGTGGATCCTGCAAAACTAGATGTGGATCCATCCCTTTGTCTGGTAGAACCTCCGAGACCTGATCAGATCCGTTTTCTACCGTCCAGAAGGTGGTGGTCGAGAGCTCCAGTTCAACAAATCGTCATCAAACTAAGCCGCAGGATGGATTTATGATGCATGGATTGACCGGAACATACCGGAACTATCGACGGATTGAGTTCCAACATGGTCCGTTCAAAACCTGTCTCAAGTCGAAAACGGACAGCGGGCTCCGTCAATCCTCGTGTCCTCCGTGAAACGAATCGTCCTCGTCTTCGTTCCGCGCACTGGGACTCCCCGGGCACCAGCAGCCGATACCTGTGGAGTCGGTCAGGGGTCAGGGGTCGGTCAAATCGAATCTCATGACCTGTATGGGATGGAGTCCTGGATGGGTGGTTAAGTGGGTATAAGTGGGTAAGTAGTCATTGTACCAATTTTCTTTTTGGAGATGTTGGTGAAAATCAACCCTTCTTTCGCTTCTTTCAATAGGAGAAAGCTATATTTGCTATGGCACAAACTCTCCTGATGCTTTATTAGGACAATCCCTGTAGATAACCTGGACCTGCTTCGTTGAACTGCTCTTGATCGAAGGACGCGCGTGCTTCCTTCGGTCCCATCGTGTAGAAACGAACACAGCCCAGCCCTTTGACCAACTAAAGCAACAACATCCAGCTTGGCCATCCTTGTTCGTGCCAGGCTGGCAGAATCTGGTTCGTCCTTTGACGACCCAAAAAGCAAGTCGGACACTCCAGGAAAGCACATACTGGCAGCCAATTCATGAATTGATCTATAGTTCCCTGGCAACCAAAAACACATCCGCGTCTCAGTGCGATGCATCGTCTCATCTTGGGTCACTGAGTGATGTCATGCCGCTTCTCTCGGCCAGCCTTCAGCTCCTCTGCACGCCCGTGGAACACCGCACCGGAGTGGAATCTCAAGATCATTGGGTCTGGTGCAGTAGTGGATCCAACAACTCGTTCTATCAACCGTAAGTCAAAAGTCGAGATCCAACAGCGTATTTGAAGATTAGAAAAGGTCTTCTATGGGGTCAGCAATGGACTTTTCTCCGTGTGCACAGGGAACACATGAGAAAACCACCCAGCTGAGCCAAGGCTCTACATGCGCCCAACGATGGCGCCTCACCTCTCAACGATCCAAGAACATGGACCGGGTCGACGAAGGGAATGATGAGAGAACTCTCAGTCTGGTTTTTGCCAGAACAGCGGAAAGCATGGTATTCAGCTCACTCTCCTGCTCATACAGCTCTTTGATGTCTGGATGGTGCTCTAGAGCTTCTCTAAAGATTTCCTGCGGCCAGCCATCGGTGCCGACTGGTGAGACCCCACACCCCACCCCATGCAGGTTCCAGATAGTTCCTCGGGGCAGCCAAGCCAATCAACCCAGCTGAAGCAAGCAAACAAACTCTAAATGAAGGAATAAACATGAGGGACATCAATCAGTCTAAGTGTCACAGACTCCGAAAAGGCATCGGTTTTCAACTGACACATGGATCCAACCCAACTGTGGCACCAAACAAGGGTGTTTGGTGGAAGGTGGAACCACAACCAACATGTGTCTCCACCTCATGGGTACATCTTGGCTTCAAGCCACCGAAAAGCTACAAATATAGTTTAAATAGCTTCATTGCGTGTCATCATTCATGCTTTCGTCATGCAATGTGACCCAGGGACTTTGTGTGCCAGAGATCTCCATCCAAGCTGTTGGTGGTCTACAGACCTTGAGTCCGGCAAGCGTGGTAGATTCGACTTCCAGAAGCCACACATGAACCAACCAAGTTTGGTTGTGGAAGAATATGGTCAAAGATGGATAAGTGTGTTATGTAAATTGTCTGCTTCCCTGAAACGGTGGATTTAACCTTTGGTTTTGAAGAACCTTCATTAACCAAAGATCGCCAAATAACCATCAAAAAAACATCTGCACGTGGAGGAACAATGAGGATCACCTTCCCAAGAGCAAACCACCGCAGCACGACCGCAGCACGACCAGGACTATCCAGGACTCAGAAGACTTGAGAAGACTTGAGAAGTATGTACTCAGCACTACCTAGCCGTTTTCCCTACTTTAGGACACATCAAAGGTTGCACAGCTGCACAACTGCCCTTGTCTGAAAACCAACACAAAGCACCATGATCCCACCTCCCTCAAGGCGGGTAAGGTGATCTTCCGCCTTTCAAACCTTTACAGCGAGAGACGCTTCGGTCGAGACGCTTCGCGACGCTTCGCGGCCCGGTGTGGCTGCAAGGGGACACACGTGCGAGAAGCTCCCTAATAGCGTCCGTGCTCCTAGTAGTAAGGCCAGGAGCCCCGAACGTAGCCTCCAAGCTACTGACTAGAATACCATGGGAGGACAGTCTTTCTACACTTCTTGCACGAGTGAAGGACATGGTATGGATGATCTAGATCCAGAGGGACATCAAACAGCGCACCGTCAACACCTGGCAAACATGCTATCCGAAGCATCATTAATACCGCTCCAAAACAATTAATTGAGCTGATCTTGGTCCAACACAGGACACCTCAACAAGTTCATGATAGTCATTTGAACGATTTTGGTGGTTTATGCAAGTCTAGGGTCCCAATTTCTGCAAAATTTAGGGGGGCGGGAGCGACCAAGTATAAGTTCTTAAGTGGGTCTGGTCCCTCATATAGCAAGCATGTTTGAATTTTTTTGGGGGGGACTAAGGCTCGCAGAACAAGGCTTTCGTCAGCGAAGAGTCAATGCCAGTGCCAATCTCAGGAACCCATCAACATCTTCCATGAAACACAAACTCAGCAAAGCTATCGCAATTGGAAGTCCATTGATTATGAGAGCTGCCATACTTGTAGTGCAATACCTGGCTGAACCTGCATACAATGATTTGGATGATTTTGCCAAAGTTGGGCTCACCACTTTGGCCTCTTTCCCATTCTTGGCTGAGCAGCTCAAAATCCGTGGTGTCAAGCGGATCTCGCGTTGGCTCATCCTCACTGCTGAGGTTGCCGCATTTGCCAAACAAGTGCGGATGCGGGGCAACAGCCGAATCAATTGACTGTGGCTTAAGGAAACGCCGGGTCAATTCTAGTTCGTGACTCGTGACATCAAAAAGCCTGCAACGGATTTGCCAAAAGGTCTACCAGTACCTGAGTCTACCAAAAATGCATAGCTACAGGATGCTACAGGCTTTGGGTGCTTTCGAATATGTATTGCCTTGGACCCCCACTACCCAGCTTTCAGCATGCAGCGCCGACAGATTTCCCGTCCTCTGGGCAGTGAAGCTTGTCCAAGTAAGGGTGCATGATGGCCTGGCAATTGACGTGACCCTCAGCTCCAAACAGCTTGGATATGTCTATGTCGCTGAATCTTGCAGTGCACCACATGCCACAATTGAACATAAGTAACAAACAAGTTTGTTCCCTCCACATGCTGCGAGACAGAACATCTCCGAGGTATTGTATAGTGTAGCCTCAATATGCTTCGGGGTGTGGCTCACTTGCGATGGTGGAGAAGCCAATGTTGCCATGCAAAATCATAGATCTTTTATGATCTTTTCCAACTCCTGCTATGAGCACCCTCCGCCCCACATACATCTTTCGAAGAAGTTTCAGGTGGCATGGTTAACTTGGTGAATGTGGCTAAAACAAATTGTCCGGACCTCTTCGCACCACATAGCACCACCACCAAAAAGCCTGGTGAGGGCACCCAAAGGCCACCAATGTCGAACCCGTGGTAGCTGCCCCCGGCAAACAGGTGCGCCCTCCCCTCCCAAATCCGCCGCGAAGGTCATCCGCTTTTGGCCCACCTCTTCTACACTGAGGCGGCTGCCTGGATCCCACCGGATCATCTTTCTCAAGATGTCCTGTCAGGGCGGAGCGTCGCAGCGGATGGAAGCGAGTCGGTGCGGACGTCGGTGGGTGGCCGTGCCGGGGGGCACTGAGGTTGCCACACTGGCAGTCGCAGCAAGAGGGCGCTGCAAAAGAAGGCAAAAAGAAGCAATAAACTGGGAGTGTCACTGTTGTTGAGCCCTTTTAAGAAAAACAAGGCCATACCCAACAGGTCGCGCGGACGAGGCCTGCGCGGGTTCCGGCATCATGTGAAAGACCTGCCACGCATGGCTGACAAATGACAGCTGACAGTGTAGCTTCTTCCTTTCGTAGAACATACAGCACGAGAAAATAACTAACCCTTAAACATGAATGTAGAGCCCCTTGAGACAGCGTTCGTCTACAAACCAAAGGTTCTGCGGTTCTATGTGGCTTTGTTTCTGAGTGTACAAGCCTTACGAGTCGAGAACTACAGGCCGGTCTTTAAATATATGTTCCCCTCAAAGCATGTCACGCAATTGGCTCTTGAGGCAGTGGCAAGTGCCACTTACAAGCCACTCACACGACCACTACCTATGCGACATGATGCCTGGTATAGTTTTCCGGAGATGTCCAAAGTAGCGACATGATGCCTGGTATAGTTTTCCGGAGATGTCCAAAGTAGCAGCTTCGATCCTCTCAGAAGGCACCGAGCTCGTCGCCTCTGGAAAGCTCTTGGATTCGTTCACAGGGAGTGACCTCAGCGACAGCGACCGCTTCACTGGGCACGCGATCGCCACCGCCATGGTGCAGCCAGGAACCATGGTGACGTGAGCTGTTGCTTCACGCATCCGGTAGGTTTGGAGAATACTTCTTGGTGCTCTCAATGTGCTCTCTTTGAATGTTCGGAAGCCGAAACATATATCACTCAGAGTGATCATGCAATTTCAACCCAGCAAGAATGGTCTCTTCAACCCAGCCGAAGAATCAACAGACCCTCATTGGACTGCTGCTGCCTCTTGTGCTGTGCAAAAACTGCCTCAAAAGTGCTGTGCTCTTCCTGGCTCTTCATGCGCTTCGGATGGGCAAAAGTCATTGCAGTTCGTCCTAAACCAGCGAGTACAAAACCACCTTGTCTTCAAGGTTCCTGGATCCCAAAAGGATTGAAGCATCAATCAGCATCAACAATCAATAGTTCTGACTCCAAGAGGGAAGGATTTTTGGTCAACATGATGGCCTCAGTGAGTCACTCTTCACTCCTAATAGACCTGTCATCACCTCCCAGCTGATGGAGTTCTCCAAGAAGTGAAACATTCCAACATGCCTTCCACATAGCCAGGCTAGAGCCTGGCTAGATCATGCTAGATCCAATGAATTTCAGCTTTCTGTCCACCTTCATTTGCACCACTTTGCTTGCTTTTTCTTCTTCTCCTAGGCTTCGGCTTGAATTGCCCTATGCGGGCGCTGGGCTTGCGGCTTGATGAACTTCCGACACTTCTCGTTAGGGATCTTCATCAGCTCCTGGAGAGCGGGGTGCCAAGCAAAAAACAGATCAAACACCGGATGCCACCATCAAGCTTAGTGTTTCTTTGAAGTAATCAATCACAAGAAAAAAGTACAACATGAAAAGGACATAAATTCATACAAAAACCAAACAACACAACAGACAACATTCATAATGCAAAAACCAGCAAAACAAAGTAAGTAGCGAAGTCGAACAAACATGAACAAACCAACATGTTATTTAAAAGCGCGTCTTCCACGGTCGTGGTCTTGCATCCATGTTGTAGTGCTCCCCGCTCGGCATCCAATCTTTGGTTCCAAAGTTCCAAAGACTAATCATTCTCCCAACCAACATCCACTCCTTCACACCCCGAAATGCCTTTCAACGCCACGGCCGGCGCCGGTGGTTTTCCAAACAAAAAGACCCTCCCGAGACCACCGAGCGACGGGACCCACCTTGGAGTCCGGAGATCCCAGGAGGTCGATGATCATATCGAGCTGATTCTGGGTGCTACGCCTGAGCGGCGGCCCGCAGGAGGCCGCTGTGTGCGTGTGCGGCCGGCTGCCTGTGCGGCCATGGCGGCGGAAACGGTGGCGTGGTGGTGCTGAGGAGGTATTTGGGTATTTGGAGACCTATGTAGTTGGTACATCTACGAAGGCATCGTGGTGGAGATGTTGTGACGTCGCTTGGCTTTGACAAAGCGGACACGCCAATGCGCATAGCTCTGTATATCTACATCCACCATGTCATGTCCAAACTTATATTCTATATACATATTGTATCGTGTTAATTGTATCATATCACAATATACAATCCCTTTCACAGAGTCTTGTGGTCCTTTGAACTGCCAAAGAAAGAGGCTTTCAGTTCAAATCCTTCGTCGGCAGCGACCATGACTGGGTGGCCCGAGCCCTGGAAAAAGTGGCTTGCGCGTCTGCATTTCGGCCAAGATGCAGCCGATGGACCTCAGCGGCAGTGTAGCATCTTAGTTGTATATGTTTTTTGTATATAACTACTGTACGATGGCATTTGTGTTTTGTAAGCAAAGGCAAGCCGTAGACTATATCATGGACATTCTATGTACCAATCGCCAAGAGTTTCTTCAACTGGGTTGAGCTAGAATTAGAAGATGTCAATGTTATGCTGCAAATAGTATCAAAAAGTTGAATGTATGCAAGCAACCATCAGGGTCTGGCACTTGAACCTCTCAAGACGTGAATCACAACCGCTCACTGCATGACCAACATCTCCGCGTGCGCTGAGATGCCACACCAGCTGTCAATCGCGCCTAGCTGCTGGAGCTGCTGAGGAAAGGCGGTGAAACATGGGGAAACCAAGAAACCGGACAATATTCTCACATCCAACACACTCCCTACTTCACCAAACTGTGTGGCATAGTCTTGAACATAGAGTGAATACAAAAGCCTGTGCAACATACCTCCAACTGCCCATCATCTTGAGACAATTGGTATGACCTCTAAAAAGGATTGGAAGATCTAGGGGGGTTGTTGGGAACAGCTTCGGCCGGGAGGCTGGAACCATTGAAACGTATGAGTCATGAGGATACAATAAACACACAGGGTGGTCGCGAATCCATTTGGATTCATTTCCACCTGGTCGTCGTACATGAACCACATCGCTAAGCCCAGGAGTTACCCACATCGCCAGAATCGGGGTGAGTTTGTCACCGTCCAAGCCGGGCTCAGCACCTTCCAAGCCAAGTCACAAGAGTAGTCCGTCCAGGAGCACAGCACCTTCCGGCGAGCACCATTGTTTTGTCCCACCCTTGAAGCTGATGAACCTGGACCTCTTGATTCATCTGCTATTCCATTCCATTGAGACCTTCCTTGCGTGCGCTGTCGGACAAGTCTGAATAACGCATAAACAAACAAAACTGACTGCGGATCCTTGGTCAAATCAGAAAGGATCTTCATCACTGGGGGCTACAGTATGCTCAAAGGAGGGTCTCTGCAACAATTGCTTGTGCTTTTTACCGGATAGGTAAAAACGTCGTGGCTTGTTGCGGTGAATTCACTTGGTTGCTCACAACTTGAAATCAACACTTGCCATTGTCAAGCACAACTATCCCATGCAACAGTGCTCCGTGGTCCCTTAGCATACAAATCACAAGTAACTTCAAAGGCTTTCTACGGGACACCAAGCATTCGATTGCAATCCGAATGGAGAATTAGGACATGACCAACGTGATTTGTCCTGTTTAAGGTAGTGTGATCAATCCTTTTGGCACAACATGACATCGTGACCCATCGAAGGGTCGTAGAGTCGAAGTAAGGAAATTGACATTTGGCAAGGAGAGTCCATAAATAACCCCAACTGTTGTACCAACATTGGTTCAACACATACCATCAAAAGACTCTCACACCAAAGACCCCACACCACAACACACCGCAACACATCAAGACTAGTGAATAGAAACCAGTGCAACTCACCCTTTGCAGTAGATTTTGCTACTAATATACACAGTGCGAGAAAGGCTCAGTCAGGATCCACCCAGCCCAGCAAATGAATCACATCGATCGGATGGCGTGTCGCGGATTTCGCGGTCTACCGCGGCGGGGTTAGGCACCTCAGGTGCTCGATACCATCTAGTGCAAACGTACCTGGATGGCAGGCGTTGAAACCACGTGTGCGTTGAACCGAAGGCAAACGCGCTGAATGGAGCAGCTTTTCGCTCTTCACGGTGGATTCTTTGGCCGTGCAATTGATCCAAATCCAATCCTGTGATGGTCCGTGGTGCAGAAACCAAAAACGTTGGTTTTTCATGATCCTTCAGCTAAACTGTAGTCACGGTCTCTTATTGCTCTTATTGTATTCCAACAAACTTGCGGGATCTTTGCTGCAAGTAATTCGGGTCTATTTCACCAACAAAAAGGCCAATGTCCTGGGGCTTTCAAGCCGCCTAGTATAGTGTTTAACAATGTTTAACATATGATCCCATCATCTGAGATCATCTGAACATATCTAAACCCTAAAGCCCGGCTTCTTCGATTGCACCGAGAGCTCACTCGGTCATGGGGCAGACCCACTCCTTGTCGGAGAACCGCACCCGTGCCAATCCAAAGTCACAGATCTGGCGACGGACATCGCTGGATCCGGGAGACGCGTTTCGATGGCAGGCGAACTCTCCAAAATGGCAAGTCAAAACAACGCGGAAGATCGCCGGTTTTAAAAGATGTTCAATAGCTACGCGGCAATGCATCTCTTTGAGTACTATGCCTTGAGCATGCGAAAACACCCAAGGATGCTTGAGGACGCATCTACGAAGCCATTCCTTTGTTTTGATCCTCTAGGGGTGTGCTATCTAACTCTGGCGAAATGAGTCACACCTGTGGGCCATGGCCTTTTATAAGGCAGTTGTAAGGCAGGCTGGACGGACAAAGGTAGGGTCGATCGTAAGGGAAGAATCATCCAAGTTCCTCCTGGTGTAGCTGTCCTTCTGGCAACAGCAGTACGGGGTTGCAATTGTATTCAAGTACAGGAGGGTCCTCAGGAGGTGACCACAAGGGATAACTACAAACAAATCACATGTCCAAAACAAACAACTAGAGTTCTCTTCTTGCCAAAAGGTCCATCATTTCCAGCTGAGGAAAATCAAGCTTTTGCCCTGTCCTGCAGTATCCTGCAGTCGCTCCTCGTCACTCCTCGCTGAAGGGGAGCCGCCCCTGTCCCCACCTTCAAGTCACAGTTGCTGTTCACCAGCAAGTTTCTGGGCTTCAAATCTCTATGAATCACCTGCCAGCGAGGTGCATTGCCGTGGAGTTTCCGGCACACTTAGTTTGGAGACTTCAATATGTCAGAAGCTCATCTCGTCTTTCCCACAAAGGTGGCCAGGCAATCCACTGTTTGTTCCTAGAGACGGCCACCAATGCAATCCAAAGCAAACAGTACTGTCCTCCTTGTGCTTGCATGAATGCAACCGGTTTGCACGACCCTGCAAAGGGTAGCCAGCATCTCTTCGAAATCTTCATGGAAGTGGAGTGAACACCACCTGTGTGGCATTCGAAATATCTTGCCGAATGCAGCCATCCGAACTTTCACTTGGGGCCATCCACTTCCAGACTCCTTCAGGGAGCGTCCCAAAAAGGACCAGCATTTTCTTCATGCACTCGTCACGCACAGCGTGTCAGGCCGACGAAACCGACAACCGGCGCCTGCGCGGAATGGACGTATTTCATGCCGCGGAGGATCTGGTACAGAAAAAACCTCCGGTCGCGTCACATCGGATCCGGAGACTCTTCACAGGAAGCACCCACCGGTAGGTGAGGCGGAACACAAAGAATCCAAGAATCATTCATATGTTGTTTCTTTGTTTTAATTAAGGTGAGTTATATAGATGGTTTTAGGATGTCTTGCGGTTTGACTTGTAGCTCCAAAGGTTTAAAATGCATGGCCGGGTTTGGTAGGTTGATATCAAAACTCTATCAATACCCGATGGGTTGTATCCACATGTCCAACCCCAATAACCAGAAGACAAAACACGCTTCGCGTTCGGCCTGTCCCCTTACAAACGCGAAGTGAAGACTGGTGGGACTGCAAGTGGCTGTTTTGGCCCATGGGTCAGGGTCAAGTCTGGCTCAGAACCTCAAACTAACATCCTTTTCCATCAAATTCTGTAAATGGATGTAAACATGTCTGCAAATGCAAAGGTCATCTTTCATCGACTTTTGCACGTATCAAGCACTGCACAACCAGAGCACAACCAGTGTCGATTTGCGCAGTGTTGCTCCATGGCACAGAACGGTTGGGGCTCCCAGATCAGATCCATCAGCTCCGACAGATCAAGTCTGCCCTGAGAAGCCCCGCTGACAATGATCATCGGTGAGCATCTGGGATGACCTGCGCCAGGCGGGCCAAGCAGCGGGCGGTGAGATGGCGTTTGTTCAAGGCAACCAGCTTCGGAATTGGCGAACTGGCAAAGGGTCTCTATAGTAGTATGTCTCTCTCTCTCTATATATATATGATATGTCTCTATGTCTCTGTGAACCAACGATCCAACCCCTCAGTGAGAGTCGTTTTCCGTTCGAAGAATCACTGACGTCGGTACTACCAACCGTTCGGTGTGAGAGTCTTTGCTCCATGGCCCCACAACATGAAGCCGTTTGACAAGCTGGTCACAGACCACCGTGGACCGTCGTGAATGCCATTCGACCACCAGTCTGGCCGTTTGAGGCATGGAATGACCCTACAGAGTTCATGGTCTCCAAACCACTAAGGGAGAAGGGGAGTGAAGTGAATAGTCCATTGAGGCATACAGCAGCTGGAATCGACAGCTACCTTAGTGTATCATATGGATGTGGATTAACATAGGGAGACCTCCTCCAAAAAAACACTCTGAGGAAAACTTGTTGGAAGTCTGCCTATTGAAATGCACACTCATATGGTCTTGATGCTTGCTTGACCCACAGGCACTTGGTGACCAACACACACTCAGTTGCCCAACCGGTGAGCTATTTTTGAATCTGTTCAACCCCTCGAAGGATGTCAACCGGTGCAGGCTTGGAGCCGCCCTGCCATTTCATGTCCAGCCACTGAGTGCCCTGAATCGGCCCTGCTGAGCTTTTCTAGAGCTCGCCTAAGAGTGGACGCCAAATCTGTCTCCATGAGTTCGGAGACCACATAAAGCTCCTGGTCAGGCAGGGGGGCTGGGTGTACTTGTCCCACTATAGGGTCCAAGTAACTGTAGCTGCCAACGCAGTCTTGACTGCATCTGTCACTGAGCTCTCGCTATTGCTCTCGCCAAGGATGCTACTCCCGAACAACAAGACTCTGGACAGGCCATGCATGGGCCAATGACGATCTATGACGATAGCATGCTAAAGTTTAAGGGATAGATTCCAGATGGTAGGATGTTTTCCATCTGGCAAAGCCCTCTCTCAAAAAGTGGACAATGTAAGCAAATGTCCATCTCTTCAACACATGTAGGACTCCAACTCTGCTTTAACGTCTCAGTCCATGCAGCCAATGCAGCCGATGCAGCGTGAACAATCAGAAGCCACGAGGCGACAACTCTCGGACGTCCCGGCGTCCAAGGGGGCGTGCTTTGGGGGCCGGGGTCCTTGAAAGAATCTCTCGAACCGACCATGAAGATGTTCTTCACCTCGCCAGGTGAAGAAAGGCAGTGGTGAAGGGGCGAGGGGAGAGTGAACGCACGAAGCATGAGCGGTACACCTGTTCATCGCTTTGAATCTTAGACTGTGCCACTTGTATCGTCAGTGTCTAAAACAGGTTGATCGACAAATCCGGAAAGCCAGCTAGCCAGCTGGAGCTGGATTTTGTCCAACAAAGAATGGGCAGTTAAATCAATGTTTGAATGGCAAATCATGGAGAGCGAACATGTAGGATACGGAAATAACTATACACAAAGTTTGCGGTCGCTTGCAACAGTTTCGCAAAAAGGTTGAGGCCGACAAGATTCAAGATGGACACAAGATGTTTTGCATGACAAAACAGCACACCTTTCGTGCAATCCTCGTGTGGTACCAAACACCAAATTTATATTGATAGTACATGACCCCTGAATTTCGTGGTGCCAATAGTTGATTTGGCGCTGTGCCATAGGTTCCCCAGCCTGGTCCAAAGGAGCCTCACAATCAATCGATCTTTAGCGAGTCCTGGGCGCTGCGTACAGCGCGGTCCCTGCAAAAATCCCACCTGCATGAGGTTCTCGTGCTGCAAATGTCGGAGGATCCGCAGCTCCCGCAAGGTGCGCTGGCGAAACGAGCAGAGACGGAGACGCTTGTGGCGGCCAAAAGCCCTTGGACCCGATTTGCAGGGGATTGACCCTTGATTGCTATAAGGATCGAGAATTCGCACCGTTCTTGCAATGGTGTTGAATGAATAAGCCAAGTAGCCTTGTTTTACTATAGGAATCGTGGGCTCCAACATCAGGTCAACTTCTTTTGTTCGTGGTTTTTGCAGGCTATAGGCTATAGGGCTAATGCAGTGGTCTGGAAACTCCAAAAGAAAGAAACAAAAGAACTGCTCGAGAAATGGCCACTGAAGAGCTTCGACACTTCTCCAGCTGTCATCTTCAAACAGCAGGATTGAGACTGATCTTTAGGAGGCAAACAGTCCTGGTCGCACAAAGGTAGAATTGCCAAAACAAAGGAATCTGATGCTTGCAAGCTTCATCCAACACACAAAAATATAACAAGTCTATTGAAACTACAACCTGGACCTGGAACATTCCACTCAACTCTGGCTGTTTCCCTCTTCCTATTCTTTCGGACTCCTTCCATATTCTATCAACTAGGCTCAAATACCGCCCAAGGCACCTTCGCGATGGTGATGTGCTCGAAAACGCCCTCGATCTTTTTGAGCGCCACTTTCTCCTCCAGCTCCTCTCTGCAGAAACACTCTGACAAACACATCACATGGTTACGTGGATGGCATGGTCCCCTGTTGGACCCCCAAAACAGGAACGACTTTCCTTGACCAACAGGGGACGAACTCCACTTATATGGATGTCCATCAATGGTCCCTTAGAGGTCAAGGGGTGTCCAGAAAAAGCTAACACCCAACTGGGGGATACTGGGGGTCCGTCCACCATGATGTGTCCTGTGGGAGTGGACGAGGATTGACCACCACCCGGATCGACCACTCGTGTGTCTTTTTCGCTCGCATTGCGGTCCATCCTGGAAGAGCATCGCTTTTGGGGCTGAGTGAACGAATTTGGTCGACACCACATATCTGAATCATTCTGAATGTCCAACTTCATATAGTTTGGAGATTGCATTCATTCCACACACACTTTGTCCACTATTCACCAAGCTTTTTGAAACCACGGGCCACTCATATAGCTGCTATAGCTGATCATCATCCGCCCGCAGCGCTCACTTCCAGACCTGGGAGCTGAAAGCGGCTTCCCGCGGGTGAACCAAGGGGTGTTGCAGTTACAGGTGCCCTGCAAACTAGACCGTGAGAATGGACGGTTTTGACAGGTTTTGACCCTTGGTTAACCTGCAACCTAGTGGGTTTTGACGATCAACTAGACTTCTTCACTTCAAAGGCTGCGAAGCAGCAGTCAAATTCAAAGGTGCCACCACGACACGTGGAATCGATTGCAGAAACGTGAGTCTCAGTGCAAAAACCCATCGCATATATGAGCCTTCCATGCCATATATGCCCCTTCAACAACATGGCCCATTCGGTATTGCCGGTCTTTTCGTGCATCAAAACGGTATTGACGTCCTTTGATTGAATGGGTTTTGCAGGGTTTGTGGAGGAGTCGTACTCCTCAGGATGATCCCCGTAAAGACGGTATTGGTACTCCTCATCCAATTCGTTGGCTTTCACCGGTCCAATGAGCAAGTCCTGAGTCTATGACCTATAGAATTCTGGTGCTGAAACAAACAGAAAACCTAGGACCTATAGGCATGGAAGACCTCTGCTCAGGACGATCTCTGCATAGGATTGATGGAGAAATATTGCTGAGGAGAACTTGGGATTGATTGATGGATTCTCTGCATAGTTGAGAACTTGCGTGAGCAACATGTTATACAACACACATATAACTCATATAACTCAGGACATATTGCTGAGGCAACGTTGTACATATACCTACACATATTTTGCACTATTTTGTTATGTTTATGTGGCAGAGTATGGCCGTGTGTTTTTCGTGCCTCAATCCGTGGAATCCTTTTGAGGTTTCACACCAAAAAGGACCCAAAGAGGGGCTCTTCGTCCTGGGGACGAAACACGTCCGCCAACGTCCGACACCTGGTGGATTGGAATGGTCAAAGCCCGGCTGTGCCGCCGCGCGCTGCGAATCTCTGCGGAGCCATCGGCATTGATGACGCACTGGGAGTGCATCTTGACCTGGGCTGCGGCAGCTGAGTGGAAGGCGGTGGACCTGGATGAAGGGGAAAAAACAGGGTGGCCCGAACCTACTGACATTTTGATGGGTAGAAGTAGAAGCATATCAAAAACACAGTTGTTAAACCAAATGGCCGCAACGGCCCTTTTGAAGGATGTCCAAAGAGAAATGAGGAACCAGCGCGGGTGTCAAAAGTGTTTGATGTTGGCCTTCTGAGCGCCTTGAGGGGCTCAAGCTGTTGCTTCTGCCAGCAAGTCATTTAGATTATGAGTTTAGGCGACTTCAAAGGTGAGACTGGTGTCATCGGCATCATGAAATTAAGGTCCGCATGGTTGGATTCCTCCTTATGATTTGGCCACCAAATCCACGGGACATCAGCAGGAACCCGGCATATAGGCAACGTGATCAATTGCGCACTAAAGCCAATGCAAGACCTCAGCACATGAGCCACTCTAAAAGCCTGGAGTCACTCCCTATGTCGTATCACTTTCCTTGCGCGAGGCCTTACGCGCTGCTTACGCGGCCCTCACTTTTGCTTACGCAAAGCAAACTTCCGAAATGCTTACGCGAAATGCTTACGCAATCTTACGCAACCCAGGGTTTTGCTTACGCGGAATTCGATATGACAAAGTCCTTACTTAAGATGTAAACGCAGGTTTTTAGAGCGGCTCACATGAGCTATGGTAGCCTTTTGGCTTCAATCTTTTGAACACAAATGACTAAATACTCGTTTGTCCCCTGTATACTGTGGGCGGCACTTGCAAGAATGAGGAGCCACTGAATCTTTCTGAGGTTGATGAACATAGAATAGAAAGAACATATCAGCGCAGCATAGATAAAAAGAAACACACAAAAACACATACATCCCCCAGGAAAGGGCACGACCTGCTCAACGACCGACACAAATCAGCACTTCCATCAGAACCGGCTGGGCCCACGAACACCTTTCCATCCCGGCTGCATCCACTCCTAAGACGTTTTCAAGTGTGGTGGGACATAGTTCTGGGACATGGAGAGTGTATGATGCATGGATGGTGGAAGCATGTGGATCTCAAGTTGGGCATTCACAATTGATCATTGACTCATTGATTCTATTTCTGGGACGCCAATAAACACTGATAGGGACTCAAGTGCAATCAAACGCAAGCCGGCTTCAAGGACATGTGGAACTGCCATGCTCCTTTCAGGTTCCCTGCTTCTGCCTCACAGCCTTTTCTGGCCATTCTCCCGTAAGATGGAACGGTTACCAAGTTGGCTCCACCGGCAGAGTCGTCCGAGGACCAAGCCCAGCTCTTCCAGTCATCCCAGTCGATCTTCATAGCGTCCTCAAAGTCGCCGGAGAATAAGAAAAACACGCATGAAACAGCAGCTGCCTGGGAACCTGTCTTTTACTCTTCGGGTGGCAGGGAGTCTAAGACGACGGAGTCGTCTAGTATTCGTGCAGAGAATCTCTTCCACGCCCCCTGAAATAAAACAACCTGTTTGGTCATCCTTGTAATATCCAGGACACATCCATGACCCAACACAGACTCCACTGGAATCGGAAGCGTACTCGGCTCAGCATCTTCGTACTTTTGCATAAACCCCCGAGCCGTCCGCCTTTCCTTCCACACCCAGCGCCAGCCGCTCGCCTCCGAGACCCGTTCCACTCCGGGCCTGCAGGTTGGGCAGCTGCCTTGGCTGCATCCGCGGCGGCAGGTCCTGGACCGCGGGTGATGTGGTTCTGCGCTCTGCCATTCGGCATTCTCTTGTGAAGCGCAGTGCTTCGTTCGCTGCTGATGTCCCCCTTGGTTCTGCCGTGAACACGGTGAGGTGGTCGGTTCTTTTGATCCGTGATGCATCAACAAATATGTTCGAACGCATCGCAGATCTTACTTTTGGATTTGAATTCGGACTGTTCAGGCAGCATGTATTATACATAAGACTGCTCAAAAGCTTTGGGTTCCTTGACGGTTCAACTACCATGATCATACCATGATCAAGCTATAGGAAAAACATATGGTCCACGGTGTCCACGCCTTGGTGGGCACGTTGTAGAACTCCTGGTGGAGTTTGTCCTTCACAAAGCACGGGCGACCCATACATATGTAGGGTTTTTCAGGCGAGCTCTTTACATGGTGGGCAAGCAATCTACAAAACTCATGGATTACATAGCAATGATGGATCCCCACTCCAACAGTGTGCTTTCAATTTGCATGGTGCACGTTGGGACTCTGACTTCCGTTGCACACACCTTCACTTCAAGTCCAATCCGCAAAGCCCGAGGGGCCCGGGAGAAAGCGGCCCGCGCCTCGATGATGGAGCGCACCACCGCAAAGTCGTCCGACATGACACCTGTCTCGCCCGAGGGGGACGGCTGGTATACTGGTATCCTGGTGCATGTGGTTCGTTCATGGCAGGTTTCAGCTCTAGGTCTGCTGGCTTGTCCCACTAAGCGCAGTGCGAATCAACCTGGCGGGGAGCCCACACAGCCAAACATCACTATCGACACATCACTCCAAACACCTACTATCCCCCCAGCCAACGGAGCGTGCCACGACCCACGCAGACCTGTAGGCCCAACACGCTTCGCGCCAACGACGTGGTCGAACTCGCTCTGAGCCACATGACGCGGTCTCCGTGTTTCGACGCCGCGACCGGTCCGGCTGGACCGGCTGGACCGGTCCGCACCAGCCGGGTTTCGGAGATCAACAACTCGGTTTTGAGCTGAGGGGAACTTCCTGGAGATATGTGGAACTGAGACTTGTGGAACTACTTGGCAAGGCTGAGTCCAAGTAATGAGTCCAACCACTGTTGACGGGAATTCCCGCTGCTGTTTCTTCAAGGATGGCCATGGAGTCCAACGGCCCATCCAATGGCATCCATTCCAAAAGACGCACAGTGAATGAAGAGGAACACCTATGGTATGGACATACATAATACCTAGTTCCTGTCATCTATCATAGAATTGTTTGGTTTTGACATGTTTTGACTCTTGACCCACACCCATAGCATTGACATGGGGCTACAACAACTGCAGGAAACAACATATTTTTTGGGAAGACGCGTGTGGAACACAATTTCCTATAAAGGCAATCCTGTACTCAGTTTCTCAGTTTCTATTATAAATACTTGATATCTGGGATGACTACGCGCCAGAATCCAAGGTCCGCACCAGTCAGTGACCAACTGGTGGGTAGGGCTTTACCACTCTTTTTCCAATAAGGCTTTAACTATTGATGACTCTGCAAAGGCAAGGCAAATTAAGTGAGGAATTCTGCAAGCCTGTGAAGGACAAGGTGCAACATATACATGATTTGCCCGTGTGGGGGGTCATGTATTTTCGCACTTGGTGGCCATATATGCCATATGCCCTGAACTCAATGTTAAACTGAAGGAGCAGCATGTCTTTGGGATTGAGCTCAAACCCAAGTCAACTCCAGTAGTTTGCATCGCGATGAGTTTCATACAGTGTTCTTTGTCTGTTTCAACACAGTAGTTGACCTGAAGATCTGATTGATGATTTATATTGCACCCCAATCACAAAGGCATAGCATGTGTCCTGATCTTCGGCTGAGACCACAATGCCATAGGCGCCATGGCCTCAAGTAGTGGGCCGGAGGCTTGTGGTGTGATTTCGTTACATAGACTCCTGTACTTAAAAGTGGAAAAACACAACAACAACAACAACAACAACAACAACAACAACAACAACAACAACAACAACATCTACAACAAAGATGAACTTTCTTGGCGTATACATGTTTTTGTTGGATGCCCACGATATCCCGGGAGAGATAATATGACATCATCGAGTCAAGTGAGGAAGAGTCGGTGGTGCCTTCTGACTTGGAGCATTCCAGGAATCTTCAGGAGTTAGGACTCGGACACAGGACGCGAAAGTAAAAACAATCATTCACCTGCTCTGGTTGCAGCCATGCCAAGCTCAACACACACAGTTGCAAGCACCAACCTATGCCCGTAGGTGGTTATGCCAAGCTCAAGATCTGAACTCTTTTTGCTTGAAAAACATCACCGAGCCGACCTGGTGGACTGTGACTGGAAGGACTGTGGCTGGTGGTCTTGATATCAAAGTTCTCTTGACTGGATGGACTGTGTCACCTATAAATCCCTCACTGCAGCTCAGTCGCTCAAACCGCAAGAAAAACACTCAGCCGCGTTGCAAACACTATGAACTCCACTCATGTAGACGGTAAACTCTTGATTAATAGCCCCTCCAATTGGGGATCAAAAAAAAACCTCTTCATATAATATATATATATAGATATTTGAGGTTCAAATATGTTCAAATTGTAAAGAGCACAATTACAGCATATATGTAAAACTATGCAAACATGCAATAAACAGGAACCCAACCCTATCCCAAACCATTGGCCATCACGCTGTTCGCGCTGCGGCTTCCGTGACGCGTCCGTGCACGCATCCGAGTGCCCAGCTCATGGGCTCATCGATGTGGTACCGCTTGGGCACCTAGTGAGGGCACTGTGAGAGAACTGGTGTTCTGACTCAGAGACAATGGCCATAGCATAGCAGGCATGGCAGTAGAGTTGAAGTTTCAATGCGTTCTGTCTTCTTTAAACAAAGACAGAACAATAATACCCATAATACACAATGTTGATCTTCTTTGCAAATCTTGCTTGGGATCATTCTATAATTGGATGATTGAGTGTGCTAGTAAAAGCACATGAAACACAGAAACCTGACCCATCTGGGTCCGCAAATAGCTATAACTACCTCAGCAACTAGCATAGCGTCATCGCAACTAACTACCATCAACTATATAACATCTAATTAACTATACAGGACCTATAATCTAACACAAAACAAGGACCCTCTCCAACATGTTAAGGAAACATATCAACAAAGTACCGTAGTAGTATCATGTAGTAACCGCTGTCAACAAAGCTGTGCCGCCGTCGGGTGCATCGCCTCGAAGGTGGAGCCCTGGACGGTGGCCGTGGAGGTCTCCAGGTTTAGGCTATTCACCGGCATGACCTGTCGACCACTGGGAAGCGCTGAGGTAAGACGTGAAGCGCGGTCGGTCGGACGTGATTCGAGGTCAGGTGCAAACCCTCCAGGTCGGTGGGTAAGACATTGTAACAGTGGAAGACATACCTTGCCACAGTGAGCTGTGTGCTGGCACATCTCCGTTGCCAAAGCGCAACGTAGATCTATACATTGCAACGTCTGATGCCTCATGTGATCTATGCTGCAAGTGGTTCAAGATCTCTTCCCATGATCGCACACATGCAAATGCTGTTCTTTTTGTCTTGGATCCGACAAACCCAGGACCCAGGAAGCGCCTCCAGCAGGATCTGGGGCGCATCCAGCTCGACCTTGACACCACGGTGTATAGGTCCCTTAGGTGTCAAGTGCAGTTCCCTGCAGCTCCAAATGACTTCGAGTGCGTTCCGGGGTAGTAGGACAATATTTTTGCTAACTACTCTCCCCCAGCTATGTATTCACATGGCTGGGCTTGCTCTTCAAGCCTCAGCGTGCCTCTGATATCAGCCCGACCCAAGCGCGACATAATCAGGGATCCAGAATCCAGGCATTCCGTATGAGCTTTGGACCAAGTTGGTCACATCCTTTGGTGGTGCGAGAAATCCCTCTACAGTAACCATAAGAGTCCTCATCAGTATCGCCACCCAAGCCGGCACACCACCCAATTATCCACCAAAATGGTGTTGTATGACCTGTACTCTTCCAACTTCTTTGCCGATGAACAAGCATGAAGAACGTTTAAACACAAGTAAAAAAGCAGCCACATGCTAGGAAGGACCAATCTTTGTTAGCGTCTCTCTGCAAATTCTACACATGAGGTACGGCCAAAATTTATATATGTGCGGCTGTTGTATCTTCAGATTTGTGAGTCCCTTAGGGTTTGCAAGGGTTTGGAGATGCTTGGAGCATGCCCACATGTGAACGCGTATATAATCGCAAATATTAGAGGCACTTCAAATTAGAAAAGCCCAAAGTTGAATTAGCAGTCGATGAGGTCGACCAGGGGGAAATCCCTTCGGCGATGCTTTTGGATGCCACCAAGCTCTCCGTAAGTACTTTTACATCTTTTAAACAAGGCCTAATGTTCTCCCTGCCGAGCTTTCTCCAAGTTCCAGTTCCCCCGGCTCCGAGCTCTGCCCCGCCTCGCAACAGCTACAAGCGCTCGCCGAGTGTCGCAAGCGTCGCGGGCGTCTTTGAGCCGAAAAGGGTCGGCCCCCAAACTCCGTCAGCTGTGGCAAACGAAGCATCGCTGGAAGAGGAGCTGCAGCTTCGGGCTAAACATGTTAAACCTTTCTTGGACCAAGTGCGCATCTGCAAAGCAATCGTCAGGATCTTTGCTGCCGGCGTTTCCATGGAGGTCTGTGCAAACGAATAAGGGCGCAGCTCTTTCATTTGTTTTCGTCTCGTTCTGACTGTGCACATGAGGCAAGCACTCTTGGCTCACCCCGCGTGTTCTTTACATCACAGAACATCGAGTCGTAGGGTCGTGAATGTGGCCCCCAACGCCACACAGGCGCATGTTGAGCAGCTTGGTGTTTGATCCGAATGCTGGTGCACCGAAACAAAAGGGACATCGGGTTCGTCGACTTTAGGGATAAGAATAAGAAGCACCTCCTCAACTTCACCAGGATCAGGATCATTCAGTGCCCCAAATTGGGCAACTATCAATCTGAAATCTTTGGGCCACTATGGCCATTACACCAGACTCTCTATGTGAGTCACCTTCATGAGGCTTCAGGCCTCAAAAGGAAGTTCTAGACCTGAACAATCTGCCTCACACTCGCCTTCCCCCCACACTCGCGAACCCTGCAGGTGTGGTCGACCAGCTCTTGGAACTTCGCCTTCATCACGTCTCCGATCCATCGAACCATCACCCGCTTCACGTGTTGGTCCACGTGTTGAAAGCCCACGCGCTCCTGGCGCTGCCGGCGGACCAGAGCTGAAAGGTTTGCTGATTGGAGATTCAAGAGGATTCAAGATTCAATGCGATGGTCTGACAGGGAAAGCATGTCTGACACTTTTCTTCATAGATCTGCAGCGTGTTTGGATCAGACATCACGAAGCCCTGTCCATGAAATCCACCTAGCGACGCCCTTCCACCCAAAGAGAAATGGTCTGGAGGAGTCAGATAATAGATCACATAACCAGGACCCTCTAAGGGGTGCCCAATGGAAGCCTATAGGTAGTGTGGGGTAGTTGATTGGACACCCCTTGGAGGGTCCAGGAACATAATAAATCCTGGTCCAATCATGTCCAAAGCTCTAGATCCATGGCAGCTTCGATCGTCTTGGTTTGCTGGACGAAGACCGCAAAGAAACTGAACCAAGCTCTGGAGTGAAAAACGACCAACCAAAACTCTGCTTCAAGTCATGAGTTGTCTGAAAAGCAAACCCCCTTTCATTGCTTCTGTCAGGGAATACCCCCCAAAGGCGCTCAATATCCTCAAACAGATCCAAAGACATTACGATTCAGGCTGAGGAACCTTGGTTCGTCATCAGGGACAGTGCTTCGGGGAATTCTGTTCTGTTCTCGGAAAAAGAGAGGGAACCATGGAGAAGGGCAAATCAAAGGCAGCTAAGCACTTTTTGGCTTCGTATGATGGGCATCAAACACATTACAATAGAATACAATAGACTATCAATATGTAACAGATATATCAATACTAAAATATAGAGTGCTATCCAACATAGTGTCTTTCTCCGGAAGGAATGGGTAGAATCTCTCCTACTAGAGGGATCTCAATAAGTAAACACCTGAGCAAGTTTAGCTGATGCTCAATCTTTTGAGAAAAGCAAAAACCAGCCAATGTCCATTGTCCACCACTGCAAACACCAGTGAGGGAGGTCATCTCTCCCGGCATCGAGTTACGCCTCTCCATCCCCAATGCACCGGTCATGCTGCCCAGGTCCGTCCTGGATCAAGGCCTTGACCTGTACAGCTGGAAAGTAGACGAAGGAACACGTGCAGAAACCGACCATCCAGTCGACACCCCAAAAATATCCTCAAAGAAACCCATCAAACGCGGTTCCTGTGGGGTATTGAAGAAGGATGACAAAGGTTGGACCACCTGGTTTGAGACATAAACACCTGAAGTCTCCCTGCAGCCCATTCCAACGCACACAGGGAGGGAAGAAACACCCAATCAACCACCGGCCAGGCTGAATCCAGCTTGCGCAGTGCAAGCGCTTCCAAGATCGGTCTCTTCGCATGGAAGCAAAGAAAGCATCGAAGAGTAGGTGAGCAGTTCTCACGTTCGCCCTCCATCTTCCAACATCCAAATCCCCTTGAGAATCATCTCAGCACAGTCGCCCCCCTTCCTCATGGAACCAACCACATGATTGAACCATAAATAACATTAAAGCAACTATAGAACCAACACAAACGCTGGAACTTGAGAACCAAGCCTCAAAAATCCCAGCACCAAAGCAACTTTCCAACACCCCCATGGCCCGCCCTTGACACATAAACACCTTCTCCTCTTTGTTTCTGCATGGCAGGCCTTCACTTCATCTTCCCACTTCCACGCGGTGGCCAGCTGCGAGTTCACACAGCCCACGGCCTGCGAGACCTCGACGATGCCCTTCGCGCCCCGGAAGATCTGCTGCTCCAGCCGTCCGGCAGCGGCCGAGGGCATGACGAAGGTCACCTGCGCTGGTCGATTCGAGGGCTTGCGAGGAGGGCCGTTTGGATGTACCTGCAAGTCTGACTGACCTCGATTTTGGACCAGCAAGTACCCAAAGGCACCCCAGATGTAGTCTTTTCCTATCAAACACCAGGGGTCGAATGGATTGTAGGTATATCATGATCATACACTCCTGCCTGGATGAAGTAAAACAACACGGATCCTCACCTGAGACTTACCCTCTCTATTGGATTGGATTGAACTTCTGTGTTTTGCCAACAAAACGAAGCAAAGAACCAACTGCAAAACAAACCTAGAAGTTTTGCCCCGGGGCGATGCAATCCACATAACCAGGTTGGATTGGCTTTTTGGATTGGAGCTAGTTGATTGTTTTCAGCGTTGGAAGCGGGTGGCGACCTCCGAGTGATCCCAACCTGAAAGTCAGACTCCCATAACTTGAAGGTTTTCTTGCGTCCAAGTCGACAGTATCATGAATCATGCAGTTTCACTTACATGGTTGAAGGAATGACTCTGTTCTAGCTACTTGCAAACAATGTAGGAGTTTGACAGGGTGATTAACTTCATAGGTTTCCAGGCAAAACTTCCAGGTGTCCATTGGTTGGGCCATTTAAAGCACCTGGTGCGTGAAGCTATGTCATGCTATCTCATATTGCAGAACATGAGCCCGGATCGTGAACACTCTGACCAACAAAGACTGATCACTCAAGCTACGAAATGCTGGTCATCAAATTGTTCCCTTTCCAATTGTTAAAACACTGAACCAGTCGACGAGTCCACCAGTCTGTCGCGTTCGTCTCGCCTGAATCTCCAGGGTGGAGGCCACAAACTGCTCGTAGACGATCCAAATGCGCTGCAAGTACACGGGCTGCTCCCAGGTATCCAGGATCGCCACCATCCTCACAGCTGTGTCAGGCTGACGAAACACATTGTCCATTGTGAACATGGTGGGTTGATTGGTGCTATTCTGCTGAAACCTCAGCTTGCCCTAGCATCGAAACATTGGGATCATGAGTCAACATCCCCTCCCAACAACCTTTATATATCGTGGAAATGAATGCCTGGAAGTAGATGTGTCAATACAAAGCCCTCCTGTGGAGTCAGAGAGTCCAATAACTAGTCCGTGTGAGTTGTCTGTTATTTCTGAGATACCAGTTGCAGAGTTGTATGGAACGTGCCTTTTCTACAACACGGCCGCGGCCGCGAGGTGACTTGACCCTCTACTTGGATGTGCGCTAAGCCCTGACACGGTCGCTCAATTACGATTTGAGCCACACACACAAACAAATCTCACGGTGTTGAATGTCATGGGCAATGGGCGTTCACAACAACATAGGAAGTAGTATTGTGGGTTACAGTAAACATGGTTGGGAAGCTTTCTTAGAAGATTGAACATATGTTTAAACCTAATGTGTAAGTGGCTTGTTACTGAAACCACTGGAAATCCCTCTCTCTGGGCCATCTTGAGGAGCGGCACGGGATGTCTCACTGAGACGCTGCGCCGGGCCACCGGCCGATGCGCTTGAGATGATTCTCAAAGACGTCCTCCAGATTCGCGCTGCCAGTGGTCGATTCCTCCACAATGATGCGAAACTGGTTGTTCACGAAGAAACACATGAAGAAGAACACACCGCCCTGACGCACCGAAGAGTGTTCTGGTTGGTTGCAATAAGAATCGATCAACCTACAAACATCATGATGCTCTGAACTGTGGAAGCGACATCTAAACAACCATGTTGCAAAATTACAGAAGAAGTTGCACGAATGACTCTATAGTTGCACAGCATTAAGATCCTCTATTCCGACCTTCTTTTTGTTAATGTTATTCCGCTATGAGCATTCAGAGTCAAAACAAATAACATTAACAACCGTCTGAAGCAACTCCGCGATGCTCCATCCAATGCGGGGCCATCAGCGGTCATCACTTGGAACATGTCCAGTGCGCTTCTAACCTGCAAGCCGATGTGGCCATTAAATGAAGGGTTGGCAGCTGGGACCAAGGGGCTTCTCCACCCGCAAAATTCCTGATGGGGCTTCACCACTCCAGATGAATGCAAATGCTCTCACTCATCCCATGCTTTAGGTCATGAATGCATTTCATCCACTGACCAACAAAAACCAAGGAATACGTCTCCACCTGCATCAAGGAGTACTGCCAGGTCCAGGACATAAAGTGCGTCTGCTCTCGGCGCTCCGCCGAAGGGATCCAATCCACCAGGGCGCAACCCATCCGACCGTCGCGGGGACAGCGCACGTCGTGGCCGATGGGGTCCGACGACAACCAAAAGGCCGTCTTCATGTCCTCGTGTGGCGGATCAGCGGAGCGACATGTTGTCGCGTGTTGCGGGGAACAGGGTTGAACCACGAAGAAGAGCCTGAGGAGCCATCGACATGCAACTGGACTGAAGCAGCAAAGCTGTGTGGTGGACAAGATCTGTTTCAACGTGTTTCATGTATAATATCATGCAACTATACCGACTATACCCGGAACGCCTTCCAGAGTGTGTGTTTGCCTCCTGCCCCGGGGAAGTGCGTCCCTTCCGACATAGTTTTTGGCGTCAAGGCTCCATGAAGCTTGGGTCCTCCTTGCCAGTTCGGCTGGTTGCCAGGTGATGGAAGCTCTCCGACAAGAGGTATCTCATACCTTGAAAACGATCATTCGGTGCAGCTTCGGGAAAATACGAGTGTTGCGGCATCCCAGTGAGCCCAAGCAAAACACGCCAATAGCAAATGCTTCGTTGGTTTAGGTGAAACTGGGCTGCGGGTACTGGTTGCTGAACGTTTAAATACTCGGGCAGCAACCTGGATACGCAACAGTCTAAATGTCTTCGCTTGGGATTCCTGCCGTTTCTTACCCCAGGACCTTGCTGCACGCCTTTGTCCAAGTAGAAGGAACGTGTTTGGGTCCATGGGCACCAGAGTTGAAGACTTGAAACGGATTAAATAGATATGGTTTACGTTATTTATAGCTTGACTGCAACTAAACCGGTTGTCCATGTAACATTCCCAGTCTTCATCAACAAACTTCAGCAACATCTGAGAGGCTGTTTCGCACATGGGTGCCTAAGAAGACCCAGTTCATCATCCAAACCCAAACAACTGCTATACACCTTGCCTCCGTTTGTCCACTTGCCCAGCGGCTCACACCGGCACGTTCGCTTTGCAATGCCCGCATGGCCGTCACGCGCTCAGCCACGTCGGCATCTTGGAGTCCAAGCGCTTCCAGCTGGGCGGAATACTTGTGGATGCTTTCAGAATCAATCCTGGCAGCTTGAAGAATCGAGAGAAGGTCAGAGTTTTATTCGGAAACTAAAAGTTGATCTTCGGAAACTTTACGGTTTTCTTCGGAAACTATGCGGCTTTCTTCGGAAACTTTACGGTGTTCTTCGGAAACTGTTAAATGGAAACTAATCTTCGGCAGCTCAAAAGTGATCTTCGGAAACTTTAAGGTTTTCTTCGGAAACTAGTCTTCGGAAACTCTACGGTGTTCTTCAGAAACTAATGTTCGGAAACACAGAGTCGAAGAGCAACATCAAAGCTGCACGAAAAGCTTTCTGCAGATCGCAAAACAAGCATGTATTATATACCGTAGCCGTCACAAGGTACATCAATATCCCACCCACCTACCCACCTACCCACCCACCCATCCCCCACCCACCCACCCATCCCCCACCCACCCAGCGCTCCTTCATGCAAATTGGTTGCAACATTGTAAAAGTTCTGAGGAATACTTTCTAAAGTTAGCTTCCTGAAGATCGCAAAATAGTTCCTGGAGATCCCAAAATAGTTTCTGAAGAATAGTTTCTGAAGAGTATAGTTGCGGAAGAGTACCAAATAGTTGCGGAAGAAAAGTTGCAGAAGAATGGAGTTGCCGAATAGGACTTTGTTCTCGAGAGAAAGTCAACCGAACGTTATACCTTTCTCTATCGGAGGTGTGCATTCTGGGATTGGTCCAAAACGACTTCTAAGATTTCCAAACGGACAAATGGATGTATAGTTTCACTGTGTCCAAACCCTTTTTGGAGAAGACTTTTCCAAACCACAAAGTTGATGATACAAAGAGTGGGAACGAATGGTACAAAGGACATCCAACAAAACTGAACTTCAATTGGTGTCTTCTCTCTGCTGACACAACCCCCAACAAGTACGAGTCAATTTGACATAATTTGACAAGATTTGATGACATTTGATAACAAGTTTTATTAGGTGAAGAAAAACACATGGTTCTGTGCCCATTGGTGATATGAACCATCATTGCATAACTGATGCCGAGAATCCACAGGTCTTGATACAGCTCACTCATGATGGTCTCCACCTTCTTCGCCGTCCGCGCGTGCGAGAAGGAAGCGACCACTTTTCCAGCCACTGCCAGGCCCACGATGCCAAAGGCCATCAAGGGCAAGTGCCACCAAACGCAACGATTCTGCATCAAGATCAGTGGGAAATTACATCGTTTGCATGCATCCTTGGAAGGGTATGGCAAGGTATGCATCCAAAGGTCCGGTGTGGCAGGGTATGGTGGCCATATATGGCTGCTTGGGCCTTCCAACAAGATTCTTCGGAAACTTTGCAAGTTGAACAACATGGGGTTTCCCGCTGCAAAAGCCAGGCATCCGATTTGCCGGTGGAATATTCAAACTCTGGACATTGTTCACAAACAGTTCGATTTCTCGATGAGATCCAACCAGCTGGGCATGATTCACAATCGCGCGCCCCAGCCACAGCGAACTGCCCAGCTGGGCAAGGTGTACAGCCTGTCTCAGGGTTGTCACTGAATTTCGATCTACAATAAATCTATATAAATCTCATGTCCAATGGAATCCGATGGATGTCTCCCCCTTGAACAGTGATCTTTTCCCCTTTTCCCTTACAGGTCACTTGGACCGGTCAAATGACGCTCCCTGGTGTCTGCGAACATGTCGGTTTCGACGATGACTTCCCGAAGTCGCTTTCCGTTGATGAGTCCTTTTGGGACTCTTCATCTGCTCTTGACTTTAATTAACGCAACAAAACATCAGAAAGTTGCACCTAGATTCCTATAGACTCCGATGTACAACTCGAAGCCGGCCTAGATTGTTTGCAGCAGGCGCCCGTCCGGCCCTACAGGGAGGTTGATCAAAGGACGTGGCGTTCAGGAACATGTGCAAACGATCCACCACAGACCAAATGTTCCAGAATCCCAGAAACTGGTCGAAGGCATATGCATCTTCAAACATCGAAATCATCAATCTCACAGACGCCGTATTCCATGAGCCAATCGGTTGATTGAAGGCCACCGCATGTTGGAACATGGAACTCATGTCTGTCACTGATGCCGTGTCCCAGGAGCCAATCGGCTGATTGAAGCTTGCAGCACCTTTGAACATTGAGTTCATGTCGGTCACCGCTGATGTATTCCATGACCCGATCGGTTGGTCAAACGCTTTGGTATAGCAGAACATACAACTCATATCCTGCACGGATGATGTGTCCCAGGAGCCAATCGATTGATTGAACTCATCTGCATTGCCAAACATAAAGCTCATCGTTTTGACCCTTGATGTATTCCACAAGTCAAGTGCTTGGTCAAACGTGGCAGCATTGTAGAACATATGATTCATGTCCTCTACAGCGGAAGTGTTCCAGGAGCGGAGAGGTTTGTTGAAGCTGCGAGCATCGGCAAACATGAAGCTCATGTCATTCACAGCAGAAGTGTTCCAGGAAACAATGTCCTCATCAAAGCTCAAGGACACGATTCCACGGATGGTCTTGGGATGACAAAAGCCCTGAAGCTGGAATTTAGATGAATTTAGATTAGAACAAAATACCGAACCACAAACCTCGTACCTCCACACCATGGTTTTCAAACCACACCACACCATGCCCCAGAAAAAAAACGCGCATGCATGCATCCACGCGTTTTCAATCGTTCGTTGTCCTCATTGAAGGCTTTCAAGGACTGGAAGAGCCCGCTCATGTTGGTCACTTGAGACACATCCCAGCGAGCCATCGGCCCGTAGCGGGACAGCAGCTGTGACCTGGCCGGCGCGACGCGACGCGACGCGCCTCGGGCGACCGCGACCACGGTGGCATCGACGGAAAGGTACGGTGGCTCAGAAAACTAGACAATCCTTGTATCGTTGATAGGGGGAGTCAGGGGAGTAAAGCTATATTCTGCTGATCAACTGGTCATAAGACGTTGTGTCCTGGATCCTGAGGATTTGGGTCTGGAGAAAGATGTCTTCCTGCAAAAAGGCAACATGCCAAACTAAGGAACATGTAACATAGATGAAATCCAAGGGTGGTGTAGCGTCGCCTAGGCCTGATATTATAGAAACAATCCCACTTAAGAAACCTTTGTTCCTCTGTTGTTGGCTTTCTTTCAAGCCCGGTCGTGCATGTCTAAGTCAAGCTGCGGTTGACTTGGCCAGCGCCTTGTCTCTTAAACGACAAACTCACAATAGCTAGCTATATGTAAGCAGGTTGCTGTGGGTCAACTAATAGACCGCATTAGACCTCCACGGTGGGTGCACATCCCTCGTAGACGGTTCTCTTCAATCTTCCTATTGACCGACAAAGAACCTAGCGTGTCCAGGCGATCAGGTCGATCCAAGTTTGCTGTGGACATAGGTCAACGGACGGTCAGTCCCTAGTTTCTTGAGATGGGATTCTGTTGGCTTTGGGATTCTTAGAGAGCTGACGGGCACGGAAACCTCAAGCGATATTGACATTCATGCTATGTACACCATGAGTCATCGAATGTCGAATGTATAGACTAGGTGTATTGATACGGAATATCTAGACTACAATGGGCAAGCAATGGCAAGCACCTTCCTAGAGTCTTCATTGGGACACTAAACACCCCTTGCAATGATCCAAGATCGTGGCACTGATTACTTGCGGATGCCGCCTGCCCGCCCGCCTGCCCACCTGCCCCCCTGCCCACTGGCCTCCGTTCACCTCCAATCGCCCATCCATCGACGGCTGCTTTCAACTCCGCTGGGCTTTGGAAGCACTGCGAGTGCCGGGCGCTCTGGTGGCCTCTGACGCCGAGCACCACGCCGGCAAGCACGTGGTGCTCGGCTAAGGATCCCAGGAGCAAAGCAAGGAAGTGCCTCAGGCGAAAGTTGTATGACTGAACATGTATTATGTTATATGTATATATTATATTATACAGTCGTGCTCAGAGTGATCAAACTACAAAGGCTTGAATAGCTGGACATGATCCTACAAACTTAGACCTCCACACGGTGCAGTGAAGCTTCTTCATTCTACTGTTTGGTTGCTGGTGCGCAGGATTCTTTGTTGAAGGTGCCAATGAACCATGGGACTCCCAAACCGCCCAAAGTGTCCCTCGCCAGGACCGCGACGGTTTCGAGCAAAAGACGCCTCCCTGTGGTTTCAGGGCATTAGCGTTGTGGCATATCGATTTGCAGTTATCAGTTGACCTGCAAAAATGATCTGAAATTGGACTGCTCTTCTCCAATTGGCAGTATAGCGACACAAACCATCACCCACAAGTTGTCAGCGATCAAACCACCAAAGTGGCTCCGTGGGAGCTCTGTCAGCTTGCCACAGACTCCCTTCTTTGTCACTTCAATCAGAGTCATCAGTGGCTCCATTGAAGTGCTGTTCACCGCTCTTTTTTAGCGACCGCGCGGTCGCCGTACTGCAGCGCCCAATTTTCTGAGCTGAGCACCTGCACAGCTGCGGGTCCAGTCTCAGGATCAACTCAGTATAGGTCCAGTCCACTTCAAAAACCCAATTCAGGCGAGCTGAGACTGCAGAGTTTCTAGTTTCTGCGCAAAAAGGTTCTGTAATTGGATGTGTTTCATGTCCTGAACTAATTTCATCCTCCACTCCAAGCAGCCACCTTTACTCTCACACACACCACTGCGCCACAGACCGCTGACGCGCTGACGATGGCCGCACCTGGATGTCCGTCGACCCAGCTTGACTTGGAGGTGCCAACACCAACGGCCCAGTGCACCGCGGGAAGCGGGACACCTGGTGGAGAGAGCGATCTCGCGTGGCGTTTAGTTTTAGCAAAAGCAAAGTCAGTCTCTGGTCCGCATGGTCCGCTGGGAAAAAAAGCTCTATCGATATTTATCGGATTTGCTATGGTTCTTGCACTCAATCAGGTGTCTGCAAACAAACATTTCATTTCACCTGCTGCTTCCTTTCAGGATTTCCAACCACACCAAATCATCACATCACCACCACCTACGACAATGACCATCACGATGCCTCAGCCTCACTGACACTCCGCGGAGCAAACACCTTGGGAAAAATGTCCAACCAGTCGATAGCTGAAGACGCACCAAACAAAGACCTAGGACCTACAGTGGTTGCAGAGTAGATGGCACAACCCCCAAATAGTGTATATCGAACAATCCGGAAAGAAATCTAGACTGTACTGCTGAGGACTATTCTGATGTCCAAGGACTTTGCTACAGGCAGCTACACGAGTACAGTCTATTTCATGCACCAGAAACGTCCTTCATCCAGTGAATGGCTTGCCAACGGCTGCGTCGACGGTGGAACGAACCCGTCAACAACTTGGTCGACGAAGGATTCGGGGGCAGGTCGGGCACCATCGCCCCATACTCCCGAAAAAGGATCTCGTTGTAGAGCCCAGTCCGATGATTTTTCCCACAACGGTGGCATGTACACATCAAATGCACACCCTTCTCATCTCCAGGGTTAAAAGCACCTGGATTGTCAAGAATGAAGGCCTCCAGGTGCTGTAAGAGACAACCAAGGGCAAACCTTCTGAGTCCGGGCCTCCACACACGTACAGCTGGGCCCTGGGCTTTTTGCTGCGAGCGCACACGGGCCTTGGTGGGACCAAAATGTTTGGCAAAGCGATACTTACTTCTGAGAAGTTGAACATCCATGGCACAATTCCAAATTTGCTTGACATGGCTAAACCGGGTTGGCCCCAAAACCCAAACCTGGGAAAACCCTTGTGCGTGTCATACATTGAGATTTATAAGGGCTGTCCTGATTTCATGTCATGCTGCTACCTGAGTGAAAAGAACCAGCCCAACTCCCTCTAAGCCTGCACATTGCAGGTGCTTCTTGGTCGACATCGCTATTCATTCCCACAAAACACGCACATATTGTTGGAAGAGCTTCAGAAAGAGAACGAACTCAACTTCTTCAGGAGCCGAGCCTCCGTTCAACCTCGTATTGCCCACTCGTATTTCCGCACCTCCAGGGGGCCGGAGCTCTTGGCCAAGTGCTGATACCTCGGTCACCGGGCCGGTGCGACATGGTTCCAGCGTTTGGAGCGTGAAAACCTGAGAGCTTTTAGATGAACTTAGATGGTTTGCTTCTGCACCGGTCTGTCCGGAAGAAAAAAACAAGTGGGACTCCAACAAGCAAAACATGTTATATAATTCCACTAACCGATCAATGAAACCTGGGCAACTCTTCACTCCAAGCAGAAGGATCATTGCCCAACCCTCACTCCACGTTCAGCCCAGCCGCACTCGTGAGAGTTCGCTGTCCACCTGTGATTTCGAACCAGAACGTGCGTCTGGGTCTGCTGGTATCAGGGTGTAACCTTTAGTTTGGGATTGATTGTGATATAGTCCTGGATCGTTTTGGATTGTTTCGAGAGTGAATATCCCAACACGTATCCGATGCCCGAAAGCTCAAACATTGTTACTTCCTGTCGTCCCAACACGTTGTTGTACATTTGCAACCCGTAAATGGTTGACAGTGTCCAGTGTTCCTCTCATATGTTCATATTGTTGACAAACAACAACAAAATTTCAGGAACATGCGCTGTGGACGTATTGCAAAAGCACTGCCCTTTCCGTGAGTTCCTCAAGGACACCATGAGTTCCACACAAATCTTCATCGTGCCTGTAGGCTCACTGGGAAGATCCGCTCATATAGCAAGGCTGCCTCGGAGCAGTGAAGATCGGCTGTGTACCATGAGGGCATGGAGTTGCCATTCTCTGAAGTGGGTTTATAGTATGGGAGGCGTGGGGCTCATACTCTACTTAAAGAAACTGTTTGTAATCGAACTGGCTGCGTCTGTGGCCGGTACCAACACAGTCTGCATTCTGCAGTCATGATGATTTCCAACCAAACACAGGCTAGTATCTGTTTGTCGGCGCCTGAATGCCTGGGGAAAAAGGGTAGCAATAAAACATGAATCCCAACAAGTATCACATCATTGGACAATGGCATAGTTAGTTTAGTTTGAGGACTTGCATCAATCTTTTTGAACAATACCGTAACCAATCTTTAAACAAACGCCTCAAGAGGTATTCGTCCAAATGCCCCATTGTTCCACCACACGTTGGGTTTCCCAGACGCCCAGTGGCCGCAGTGCCACTGCATAGGCGCCGAAGATCACGGTGGGACGGCCCAAAGCACAGGAGGCCTCAGATCCAAGGAAAACAAGGCAACTTATTGGGGCTCATCTGTGTGTCTTAGATCATGTGTCCCGTTTTTCGATGAAGGCCTTGGTTTTGCCCATCCATTTTGGCTCCATGAAAGTGCTGTCAAGGCCTGCTGTACTGAGGAAATCTAGTTCTCAGCTAGACACTATTGAGAACATGGTAGACCTCCTCATACCTCTTCCATCAGCCTCACATTGGAGGACGACAAAGCAGCCTCCAGTTCCTGATTGTGCTTGTCTCGCATTGCCATGGCCTCATCAATCCTGTTGGTGGCCGTTTGCTGCGCAGCTTGCACGAAGCTCTTGTATTGCCTTCGGTCCAACTCGAGGTGTTTGCACAAGATCTGGATCAAATCGGTGTTGCTGTGAAGCCTCTTCTCCTTGAACCCCACATAGTCACGCACAGTCCAGTTGCGATCCAGCATTTCAGCATGCAAATGAGGAAATTCCTGTTTGATTCTCGCGACACGGCGGTCCTTGTCGCCCTCCCGCAAGCCTTCATCCAGGCCATAGCGTCCATACACGTTTGCCACCTTCCGGTCTATCCTGAAATGCAGGGTTCGGAATATGGCAAAAATGCGCTTGCGAAATGCCGTAGGCTCCGGAGCGTCGACTGCAGCGCCCTCTGGCGCAGCTTGCTTCATGGCAATGGCTGCGTCGTGTACCAGTCCCCAGGAGAACAGGTCTGCTGCTCCTGTGTTTGGCAAACGCAACATGAAGCATTGCTTGCCTGCGCTGGCCGGCCGCTGTGGATGGTCCGGGTTCACAAAGAATAAAGAGTCCTTGGGTTAGCATGAAGCTGCTGAGAACAATGCAGCAACCACGATGTTATGAATTGCATCTGGTCTGGAACAACTAATGATGGTGGGTAGCAAAAGATTTCCTCAAAAACCTGCAGGCTCCAGAGAATGATTTGTTTGCTTTTGTTTCTAATCTGCACATTGTTCCTGAACATTCTCTCCATACTCTATACCGGGAATTGTTGTCGAATTGAAGGCACAGGTGGGTTGCTAGTGTCCACACTGTTGTGCCCCAAATCTAACAAGTGGGTCCAAACCACGTTGTTTCCAGTGCACAGTTTCCTCGTGCTAGTTGTGCAACTGAAGTGGTGCATGTTGCAAAACCTAAAGGAAAATAGTCCACAACGCCTTCAGCATGTTGCATCTGCCAAGCAAGCCCCTTAAAACATCGCAAAAACTTGCAACGGCCTCCACACCATTTGTTGGAAACGATCTTGTGAGTGTCCTGGCCCTGTGGAAAACACAATTATATAATGTCAAATGCACCAACATACACTTATCAAGTCACCCTGCAATGTTAAAAACAAAAAAACAATATCCCAGTATCTGTGCCGGAGTTGTTGACTTCCCGACAAAGTAGCGGAGCAGCTGCAACTGCTAAAGGGCTCTTCTTCGTGTGCCGAAGCGTTGGAGCAGCGTGGCCGAAAGGCTGCTGAAGCTCCTTCAGCAACTCATTGAGAACATCGCGCATGTAGGTCGTTTCCTCCGTCTCATTGTGGGCTCTGTCGTAGCCTTTGCGATTCTTCATGTACTCCTCCAGTTGCCAGTATGAGATTGGAACCAGAAAGGTTCTGCTCTCGGCCAGAGCACGAGGAGATTTTTGATGTTGCTTGAGGAACAAACCATGAGAATGCTAAGGGCATCCAAGGCACGAGCACACAGCAGTTTACAATGTCCTCCTTGGTCACGCCCTGTTCTCCACTCGTCTGAATTCTGGGCAGGATCTTGCTACCAAAAATCGCGACGACGTCTGGACAAGTGGTCCTGTAGCGCTCTCGGAGTGTTTCCTCGATCATCACCTTGAGATCGGGTGTGACTGAGTCCATTGATTGTAATAACCAATGGGATATGAGACCCTGATGCTTGGCAACATATTTTCGGGCGTCCCTGTTGCCCGTCTTGTTGAGTCGGTCGGTGATCCATTGGTCCAGGAAGAAGTGGTAGAAGGTCAAAGACCAATCAAAGATGCGCTCCGCCAGAAATTCCATCCTCTTCACGTACTCAGGGTGTTGAGTAAACCGGGTCTTTCCAAAGGACCGCAGCCAGCGGATGATGCTGTGGCTCCTTACAGCACGGATAATTGTTGGTGATTGCAAATCTGGAACAAGGTGGAACCCACCAGGCAAAGTGTCGTGAGGCAAACCACTATAGGCGCAAGGGGTTGAACAATACATGCGCAAACAACACTTAAGACATATCATCCAAGAAACAGCGAAGCAATGTCATCTTCCTTGAAGGGATTGTACAAGAAGTCGGGAGCGTTCTCACCTGCACGAAGCTTCCGAGATGCGGGAGCTGTGGATGTATTTCTGTGCAGAATACCTCTCATGGTCCCATCCTCCAATGCCTTCCAGTGTCTACCCACAGGGATCTTCCGAAGGAAAGCAATGCTTTGGCAAGTGAGTTGGAACAGTCGTGAGGTTTGAATAATATCTACTCATATGGACATCTACAGCGAGACAACAAAGTCACATAGTCCTACCGACGGCCTATCTCTTTCTGATTGATCAAAACTCCTTTCAAAAAGGCACTGTGTCAAACTAGTGTATGAATCACTGGCGAATCCAAGTCCATCTGAGCAGTATATAGTTACTTATATTTGTGTAACTCTGCCGGCAAAGTCTGCTGTATGATGCAGTGGGCGGCGATGCTCTGCAGGAGCCACTTCATGGAAAGTGACAAATAGGGTCATACGAGCTTCCAGTTGCAGGGTGCCACTTTGATATGCTGACGTGCTGAACTTGTTCACACAATTCTAGTTTAAACAAAGGGCATATGCACATCATGGAAAAGAGACACAAGCAACGTGGTTTTTTCTCTTCTGGCGCATTGACACACCAAATCCACCAGTTTGCGCACGGTCACCTCAAGCGCCAATGGGGAAAACACTAGCCCCCCCAAAAATGGCCAATAGAGTCTGACCTGCTTGGTACATGTTATCATGAACGGTGATGCCAATAAAATATGAATGTCAGGGGCAAACTCCCCGTTCACGAGAAGCACAGCAACATTGGCAAATCCTTGTCCTTCTACGTCATGGAAGCTCCGAATCCTGCAGAGTTCCTGCCCCAAGCCCTCTTTGCCCCTAACAGCCTGACTTCTCCAGTTGCTTCAGCATCTTGATCTTCGCATCCAGGCTTCGAAGAAGGCCTTCACATCTGTCATTCTCCGGGTTCTTCTCCTTCATCAACTTCTCAGTTTTCACAGCTTCCTTGCGGAGAAACTGCAGAAAACCAGCTTTCACCTGCGGGAGGCGAATCTGGTTTTCTCACGGAGTCAAGTGGTTACGCTCTGCGTATCTCAAAAGTTTCCCGTGGCCTAAGACTGTTTACTGAAGAAATCTGAAGAACCCTAAGCTGACATCAGCCAACAGGGGGTTGCATCAAGCCTCTTCCCTGATCTGAGTGAGGCGTTTTTCAGCTTCCTCCTTCCTCAGCTCAGCCAGCTCGGCCATCCTTCGTTGCTGTTCCTCATGTCGAGCTCGCTCCTCCCGCTGCTGACGATCCACCTGACATTCTGGAACACACCTGGGAGGGCAGGTCTGGCTGTTCGGATTGTACTTCAGCTTTGGATCATCACTCAAGCCCTCTCCACAACGCACACAGCGCACAAACCAGGCTTCGAACAGCGAGATGTCCCGGCCGGCAGGAACGTACCACTTCCGGAGGTTTCCATCCCAATACGCTCCTCGTTCTTTCGCCCTGTCCTTCTCTGCCATGGGGCAGCGCAAGTAGAAGGCTTCGTCGGAGCATCGAAAACACTCGCGCCAGCAGGGGCCACATCGCAAGGCAAATCGTTTCCAGGACGGCACATCATGGGATCCGCACTTCTCACAAATCCGTGCTTCATCTGTCACTGCGGCTCTCTTGGGCTCCGGAAACTGCGGCGCCTCTAAGGCGCGCTTGGGCGGTACCGCCTGGCCGGATTCTTTCGCAAGGCACCACTGCACGAATGCATAGAGCCGGCCATCAGGAGCCGGATTCTCTCCTGAGATGGGCGGTCGGATTTCGGATTGGCTGAGTCAGCTGGGGTTTTTGTGAACACCTTGGATACGGAAGCGTTGGGGACACAGCTGCGGAGGTGCAGTACGGGTCCCCACTTTTTTAAGACCCGCATGGATCATGCTGGGAGTGAAATGGAAGAGAAAGAATTTCAACGCATTGCTGACAGGGTTATCTAACTCTTCAACTTTCCACTCTACCATGTGGCATTCTACAATGTCACACAGCACCCGCACATTCCGCATGATATGATATGGCAAATGACTCGAGAAGGTTTCCTAATCCAAAGCGTTCAATTAAAGCATTCAAACACATTGAAGCCCTTCTGGGACCAAATGTGAACAACAAAGCAAGTGACCAGGTTGGTATTGTTTCGAATGCGAGCAAGTGGGGATGTACCATCCCACTGCTTCACAGCTGATTTTGGGTGATTTGGAATCCTTGGAACGATGCTTTTGTATTCACGGCGCTTTAGTATCCCAGTATTCTGATATGTCCCTAACATTCCGTTCGCCACTGGCGCGACCAATTGAACTATTGGCGGCTGGCAATTGAAACAACATGAATGCCAGGAATTCCAAAAGGGGTGATGACTAGATATTGAATAGAGAAGAGGTGTATCTCCAGGGGTGTCCATTCTCCACTACTATGGGTTCCCTTCTGACCCATCCCTTCTTGGAACGTTCTGGAACGTACCAAGCTTTTCATCAAGTCTCCTTTGGCCCACCTCACGTATCCCGGATCCTGCTGGCGAACCTCCTCGAAGCTCTTCCCTCGATGTTTGCCAAATGTGAAGTGGATGGGAGGACTCTCAGCCATTGCATCTCATGGCCAGGGGGTTTGCTGTTCAATCTATGCCTGTTTGGGTTTGGATATTTTGTTAATCAACTTCAATGGGCCAGTTGGTTGACTATTGTTGTTCATGTTTGAATATATGTGATTTCATGAAGTGTTCATATTC